GAATCACTTTCCTATTGTTTACATACTACGCTTGTTCCTACCCTAGTAAATTCTCCCTGACACTATGGCCTTCCGCGCCTTATCCAATTCAACTAGCTTAAACATGTTGGGATACGGTAGATCGCCTATTATCTGGCCGGACCACATCGTATTTAATAAGCCTTTGACCAATTTGAGCCTGCATTCTGGTGCCGATACGTTGAAGACACTTTCGTTATAAGCGAACGGAGCGGGATAGATTTACTGAACACGACACGGAGGTAGGAGCGTCTTGTCCAAGTAAGTCCTGTGTATAATTCCATATCCATAAAGTTAGCTCTGAGGTTAACCTAACCCGTGATCCTAATCTTAACGCTTAAACTTTCCTTACTCTAACCCTACAGCTAACACTATCACTTACTTTAATGATAACCTTAACCCTAATCTTAAACTTAACCAAAACCCTAACCGTGAAAATAACCCCATTTACCCTGGCGTTTGGCACAAAGATACTTGTAATGCCGACGACTTCCGTTCTCATGACCTATTTAGGGGACCATATAGCTAGTGAACAATTGGTGCACCCACTCCAACCGCGAAAAAGTTTGCGCCTAAGACCTGACTGCAGCTTTGTGTGCGTGTTTTCAAATTTTGCGCAACTCTCTTTCCAGGATCCTGCGCTTATTCAAAACTCTTTTCAGCAGTAGTATTGCTTAGAAGTAACCCTTACCAACTTATTAAAGCAACAGAGAAGAACTAGAGATTGAAGGTTCCCTGGATGCTTTTGTAAATTCTCCAGTCGAAATTAAATAAAGCGCCGCTGCTATGCTTACATCAAGCAAATGTCTCATCATAGCTTTGTGGAAGACTAGTTTGATTCTAAGTCCACAGGCAAACAGCTGTATGATGTGCGTTCACTGGTGACGTATAACATACGCATTTTCCGCAATTATTTGTTATTTAAAAGCTAGATCCCATTCAAATGACTGATAATTCTATCAGCGGTGCACAGGTCTATGCGACCAATTTCTACGTTTTATAACGTGCTGGGTTAGCAAACGCTTCGCTTGCTCTGTGACTAGCATTTTCTGCCAGCGTCAGCATTTGAATTGCAAAACAAAGTGCATTTTAGTTAGCTTCCCGAACTGAGTGCTCTCTCGCTGACCGGCTGCCGGCATTTACCTTGCTGACTTATGCGGAAGTTTACCAGTCATTAGAATATAAAAATACATTAGTGCGAAAGCAGCGTAGGATTTTGGCCTAATAATGGAACAGTCTGTCGAATTGAGGGAAGAAGTCGAAAACAACTGCACAAAATACTTTTTTAAATACCAAAACAGGAAAATAAAAAACGATAACTACGAAACGGAGGGGTTCTCTGCCAAAGTCTTCGATAGATTTCGAACAAAATTACTATATTTTCAACTTTTCGTCAACAAAGGGCGTCATCTGGAGGACAGAATCATTCACGATTTCCCATGATTTCAGAGTTTGACTTTCTCGTAAGATTTCACCATTGAAAAGCAACTCATAACTTTCCACGGGCCATCCATCCCCAAAAAAGGCCATCCGTTCTTTTAGGCTCATCGCTGTTTCGTCTTCACAAATCCAATACCTACACCAGCCTCCGTCGGGTTTCTTTATATTCAATGCAGTAAGCTCTGGAATATTCAATGGAAGGCCAAGGACAAAAAAGACATCCTGCGATATCCCGTACTCCTTGAGCTGACGGAAGTCTTCCAGAACTATACCGTCGTATGTCAACTTTTGCATATTCTGCGGGATTCCTGTTTTCATTTCAATATGCCTCTTTACATGAGAGACAGTATTAGTGCCTTCCCAGTTATCTATTCCGAATTCGCCAAGGCGCTTGCAGGTGATCCTCTAGCGAAATCCCATTTTTTATGCGACTGAGCATTCTGCAGTGGCGCTTGTATATAAGCAGTTGTCAGAGTACGATTCCGCCTGCATCTCTCACAGAACGGTGACTATGCCAACCTATCGAGATTATTTCCTTTCTACGCCCCCCCCGCGGGTTCAGCGAAGCCGTATTGTCATCAGCCAATCAGAAAAGGGTGGAGGTATTGGCATCAGAGTTCGCAAGGGATCGATTAGCTTCGGCGTACCCGCGGTGAGAGCGGGGGCGCGAAAGTGCAAGAGCGCGCAGAGGTAAGAGGAT